ATTTCCCCTTATTTAATAGTGGAATGGTGGTCTGCTAAAGAAAGAAAAACAAAACAAAGCCAATAATTAGTTAACTTCTGATCCTTGGAACAATATGAAGGACAATTAATTTAATCCTTCAGTGGTGCCACACGGAAACAATAAAGGTTGCAGACCCTGCAAGGGGGAATACTTCTAAAAAACCCCTGCAGGATAATTGCTAAATAAACTTGTTATTAGACCTTGATCATGGAGATAGCCATTATGTGATATTAATTACGTTCAGTTCAACTACACTGGAACTTAATTCAAAGCAATGTCTCAGCGGTTCTAGGGGAGGCAACATACTGCGGGTGTTGTATCCAGATTCTGGGCCCTCAAACAATAGAGGACAATGGAGGGCAGTATTTAGGATACCCTCGATGCTTTTACTCAGTTGTTAAGAAGCATGCAAGGAACAATCTGGGCCAACCAATGTTCTAGGAGCACAAAAGCTGTCAGTTTCACAGTATTCCGTGTATTCTGCCTAATTAGTAATTGTGCTGCCTTTAAGTGCTTTCAAATTTTTACACCAGGTCAAAATGGTGCACTTTGTAAGGGAGAGCTGCAAACCGCCCCCTTGGACATAAAATAGCAGCTCGCAATGATGTATATACGCTAAACACTGAGGACCAACATGCCCCTAAGCACACGCTCAGCCTAGAAATCAGTGATCAATACTAGAACCAAACTCACAAGCCTTCCATACAACCACCCGCTTTTCTCTAAATTCTTGTTTTTCAGCAACTACATTTAAGGGAGAGCAGACTTTTCATCTGCTGCCACTGCAATTATTATTTTTCATCTCCTTCCTGCCCAATAGCTAAATCTCCCTAAGCAGTTCGCACCAATTAATTTAACACACAAACACAAGCTCTGCCCACAAGGCAATAGAAGAGGAATCTAGTTTATCCCACTGTGTCCTTCGCATTTGCTTTCCTATTTCTAGCACATGAAATACAGGACTTCATTTCGTGAGGCCTTTAACCCACCACCCTTCTGAAGCTTCTGCCCCCATTTTCCCTGCAGCCTTAGAAACAGGGTTTCCACACCCCTTTTTTCTGGGGATAATCTATATTCTTCAACGCAACCCAAAGGAGGCATGTGGCATCGCTGTGATACAGCAGCATTGCGAAATGACACAAACTCCTTCGGTGGCTCATTCCTAGATTAGGAACTAATACCCAACTTCATCCCCCCCAAAAGACAGCTGCCAAACGGTAGCAAAGCACAAAAGAGGCCCCGGGACTGAAGCTGTGAACCAGCACAAACAAGGGAGTCACACACAACAAACACCTTGCGTGGAGAAACTCGTAAGCGCAAGAGATGCTGGGGGCTGGCAGGGCCCGGGTGTGGGCAGCAGATGACGGGGGATGCACCGGGACCCCAAGGCAAGAGAGGATCCAGTACCGTCCCATAACCAGCCAAAGCCACAGACCGGGCAAAGGTCAGGCGATGGGGGGGCGTCATGGGGCCCAGGGAAGGCCACAAGCAAGCCCAAAGAACGAGACGAACAAGAGCCGGAGCGCACCCACCAGAGCACAGGACAAGGCGGGAGTCCGGCAACCTGGAGCTCCCGGGTGCGTTTCTAAGGAAGCTTCCGGAGGGCAGGGCTTGCTTTTATAGAGCCCAGGTAGTGCTGCTCAAGACCTCCAGTTGGGCTTGGGACGGATCCTGCAAGCACCAGCGTGGCTGTTTTCGCGCTTGGCCAGCAGATGGGGCTGGTGCGGAGCGGCCAGAGCTTGACAGATGCTCCCAGGCGGAGGGATTATTATTATTATTATAATAACATTTCTATGCCGCCCCTTGCCGAAGCCTCGGGGCAGCTTACAACACAATAAAATACAATGAAATACAATAGAACATAATAAATTACCATTAAATACAAAAATACAAAAATTTGGGATGCTATTACCTCGCCAAAAGTAAGTTTGGTGCAATGAGCGAAGCTGCCAAGGGAATTCTCAACAAGTTGCATTGTTCTCAACAAACAAACAACAAACAGCCTGTGTGTTTGAAGGTTGTTTGTCGCTGTTTGGTTTGCTTTGTTTCCTATTCCTTCTTATGTACTTGTTCATGGCAAGTGAATAAAATATTGTTTAAAGACAGTTTGGTGCGGAAGATGGCATTGATACTGTGCCATGTCTCAGAAATCCTTTATTGTATTTTCATATAGTTTGTAAGCCGTCCTGAGCGCTTGAAGTGATAAGACAGGGTATAAATGGATGTAATAAATAAATAAAGGAATAGCGATCAAACCCATTCAAGTTTGCAGCATCTTAATAAGCTCCAAGGAAAGAAATTTCACTGGATGGTGGAAAATGAAGGTAGCAGAAAAGGGGCTTTGCTTCTTCTCATCAGCAGGACCGTTTTCATATTAAAATTCGACCCAAAATATCACACGACCAAGTCAGGGTTGGCTGCGCCATGATATCCTTGTTGTCATTTATCTGTCTTCATTAAAATGTATGTCCTGCCTTGCTAGGCAAATTGTCCACTCAATTTGGGTGCTTTACCATAAGTTAAGATAAAGGAAAATGCCAATAGTCTCATCCCACAGTGCTAAAATTATGATTCCCGGAAGTAAGCTGTTCCTGAGACGTCAGTAATTGGATGGCCTATAAAAGCTTTAAGTAAATAAAGAAAATAGACAGCAAAAATTACAGGAAAATTATGCACATTATACATACATATGTGTGTGTGTTAATATATTATTATATAATATGTATAATAATGTGTGTGTGTTTGTACACACACACACACACATATATATAGCCTTCATGTATATTTTTTTGCCTTGATACACTGACCTACCTCCAAGGAGCTCAAGGTATCATTTATTGCTTGATTGATTGATTTAAAACATTTGTATGCCACCTAACAAAACACCCACCTCTGGGCAGCTCACGATCATAAGATAAAAAACACAATAAAAACCAATTACACCAATTAAAAATACAATATTTATAGAATACAGATTAAACATACAAAACAAAAGGTTGAGTGGCATCACCGATTATTATTATTATTTTTTAATACTGTGCTTTCTTCTCGCTGCTTATCCTCACGTCAACCCGAGGGGTCAGTTTAGACTGCGGTGCAGTGCAAGAAAACCATCAGGGTACTGCAGAACCGGGCCGTGGGGGGGCAGATTTTCCTCCCTGGATCTCGTGCTGGTGGCCATGTCAATACCGCAGTTCTCGCCACATTTTCCTTCCTGCCCCCTCCGGCTCGGCACTTACTGCCTTACCCACGACCGACCTACCGTGTCTCATTCCCGAAACGCGAGGGGAGGCCCCCTGCGGTGGGTGGGGGGTCGGCGGCAGGCCCTGGGCAGCCTGGGCCACATGGCAGCTGCTGCTGGTTCTGGCCCCAGGGGCTGGCGAGGTCTCTGGGGCTGAGGACACGGGGCACAACCCGTGGTGGACAAAGCGCTCTCCGCCACGGCCATGTCTCCCCGAGACGCCCCCCCCCCCCGTTGCGGGCATGCACAGGCGCACGCCTGCTCCCCGACAGACGCCGCCCCCTTCCCGGGTGCCTGCACAGGCGCTGTGCTCAGCTGATGCCCGAAGGGGCGCCTTCTTCCACATGGGACCTGAGGCAGCGGCCCCTTTCCGGGAGCCCTCCTTGCAGGAGATGAGCAGGGTGGCTGCCCAGAGCAGGGCCTTTTGGTGGTGGCACCCCAACTTTGGCCTGTGCTCCCCAGAGAGATTCACCTGGCCCCATAATTTATTCTCTTCAGCATCAGGCAAAGACCCTTTTATTTTCCCAATATTCTAACATTTCATTGGTTTTATCTTCGATGTGATCATGAATGGTCAGGTGCAGTGTGTTGTGTGTGCTGCTTGTTGTATGCGGTTGTTTTGTTGTTTTCTGTAAGCCGTCCAGAGTCTTTTGTATTGGATGGCATGTAAAAACTTTAACTAAAATTAAAAATAAGTAAGTATCCTGAGGCGTGCTTCTCAAGGCTTTCCTCCGGCCTCTGGCCCTTCTCCGAGCGGGCAGCGTGTTGTACAACCAGCTGGCTTCATGCTGGAGGCCTTCATGCCTGCTTTGCGGTGCTGACAACCCCCCAACCTCTTTGTCTATGGGGCACTTTAGAAAAGCAAGCGAAGACGATGGGGACAGAGAGAGGGGAGCGCGTACCGCTCCCCAGATGCCCCGTGCTTTCGTGGCAGCCGGATCTTCAGCCATAATACGCTGACGACGTATTGCTTTTATTAGCGGACCGTTTCTCTGCTTCGCCTTGGAGATTTTAAATCGCACGCGTGCACGAGCAGTAGAATTCCCAGTCCTCCGTGGGTGGATGGATCTGTTCCATCCCAAAGTCCGGGTCAGAGATTCTCCGCTGCTTCCGTGCCCCGTGTCCAGCATTTCCTCTGAGTAAGGGCTTCCCGAGCCCTCTGGCTGCCACTGGCCACGTCCGTCACTCTGCAAGGCATACGGCCGCCATCCCGGGACGACCTGCAGACACGAGTCTCCCAATGCCCCCCCCCCCACCCCGCCGGTGGCTTTTTCCTGTTCCCGAGAGGCAGGTGGGCTGTCCATAAGAGTCTTCTGCAGACTCAGGACATTGCATCGAACTTGCTTCATCGCAGGAACCTTGAGGCCAGGTCTAAATTTGGCCGGGCGCAGATGGGCGGGCAAGTCGGAGGCAAGGAAGCGGGAGGAGGCTTGCTCCGGGGTTGCGACCCCCCCCCCCCACTGTCAAGTTGTGCCTGTTTAACCATGAATCACACTTCTCCCTGGGCTATTTACCTACCTTCTGGGAGATTTAGATTTCGTTTTACATGTGCATAGGTTTCTAACCATTATTGCAGATATTTAAAATTATTAAGCACAACACTAGGAAAGTTTAGGCGGAAAGGAAACTGTTGCTGGTTCGGGCGGGGAGGGGTGGGATGGGACCGTAGGCCCTTTCTCTATATTCACGTCCACAGGGCTGCAGCTGAAACTGACCTTCGCCATCCAATTCCTAACAGACATTCACAGCCTGGTGCAATTCCCACTTGCGGAAGGCAGGGACTCAGATCGAAAACATCGAGGAAGATTTCCGGAATGGCCTGAAGCTCATGCTCTTGCTGGAAGTGATTTCAGGTAAAGGGGGTTCCAAAGGGGGCGTGTGTGGGCCAGGCAAGGGGAGGTGGGGGGCTGCAGCATCGGGGGAATCTATGCCCCCTGTTCTCATGGACGAGCATCGAGAATAAGGGAGGGTCTGTGGCTTGTGGCACCTGCTGAAGGTCGCAGGTTCGAGCTCAGTTAAATAAAACAAGCAAGTGAAGTAAAAGTTGAATAAATAGAGATTGGGTGAGAAAGACAGGCGTGTTAGGGTCGGCACCTGCTTTAGGGCAGTTTCCAGGGTCCTGGGTCACTGGTAGCCACCATCTCAGGGGTAAGCAGGGGGAGCACTCGGGCAGCGCGTGCCGGGGACCTTCTGCGTCATGAGAAGGAGTTACGAGCCAGGAGAAGCTTGCATGAACGAGCACAATTCCAGGAGCTGCTGAAGGCACGCCATTTTCTGTGCTCTGAACTGCTTGGGAGGGCATTTCGGAGGGTGGGCTTCACGCCGGAGGTATTTTGCAGGGTACAAAATGGCCAGCAAGCCCTCCTCCGAAACCGTAAAGATCGGCTGGAGGTATATTTATTTATTTATTTATTATTTAAAACATTTCTGTGCCGCCCCCATCGCAACAAAGGCTCACAAAGAATACATAAATAATACCAATACAACAAATTTGAAAAAAATGTTTAAAAATTGTATAGAAGGTGCTTTGTTCCTGCATGATTCAGGACTGGGATCATCGACGGCAGGACGGGGAGCATCGCCGGGTGGTCAGCGGGCACAGATGCGCATGGAAATACCCTGCCGCACCTGCCCTGGTTGGCCCTTGACAGCCCTTTGGGCCACTGGGGCTGAGCCACACTGCCCTGGTTCGCCCCCAGCCCCAGCCCCAGCCCACGCTGCAGCCCAAGGCTTGTGCATTTGTGTGCTTGAGCGCTAGCTCAGGAGAAGAGGCTCATCTCACCTCTCTTTCCTCTCCTCCTCCTCAAGGGGAACGGTTGCCGAAACCGGACAAAGGCAAAATGCGCTTCCACAAGATAGCCAACGTCAACAAGGCACTGGACTTCATTGCCAGCAAGGGAGTCAAGCTAGTCTCCATCGGCGCAGAGGGTAAGTGCCAGAGAGAGGCCGGACGGCTGCCGAGTACGATCTGAGCTGCCCGGGACGGGGGTGCAAAATGGGGGTGCAAAATGGACAGCCAGAAAGGCACTTGGGGGCTGCGGCTGATGGCAGGAAAGCGGAAGGTGTGGGCCGGGTGTCCCATGGTGGCCATCCAGACGCCCCTGAGATGCCTGCAAACCCGACAAGAGGGCATCAGAGCCCTCCCTTATCGCTTGTCTCCCAGAAAGTGATTGAGGTACGCTGCCCCTGACTATGGAGGTTCTGTATACCTATCAGGAGTCTTTGGTTTTCTCTGATGGACCCCTCTGTTGGCGTAGCTGCCACTTTCCACTCCTACCACCTTTCTCTAAGCTTTTCTTTCCTGCCCCCTCCTGCCGTTCCAGAAATCGTGGACGGGAACTTGAAGATGACTCTGGGCATGATCTGGACCATCATCCTGCGATTTGCCATCCAGGACATATCCGTGGAGGGTGAGCATCGGCGCTTGGACAGTTGTCTCTCAGGGCGTCCCTTCTACCTCCCAACTGGAGCTCCAGGGCAGAAGCCTCCACAGCAGTTAAAAGGATCGGGTCGCCAGTGGCCGAAAAGCCCTGAGAAATGCTGCCGGTCGGAGCAGCCGAAGGAGCACAGCCTGATGCAAAGGCGCTTCCTCATATTCCTGAGGGAGGGACCACAGTGGTAGAAGTCCTGGGCTCGATCCAGTGGGATCAGGAAGCCCTTCCTGGGCACGCATCGTGGGAGTCCTGGCTACCATGTCCTGGAGTTTCCTTTCTCCCTTTCTCTTCCAGAAACATCTGCCAAGGAGGGGCTGCTCTTGTGGTGCCAGAGGAAAACTGCTCCTTATCGGAATGTGAATGTGCAGAACTTCCACATCAGGTGCCGGATTCGTGGCTCGTTGTGCTGGCTTCGTGCCCCGCTGTCGAGTGAATCGTAACAAGCGAGGGCTGGAGGCCAGAGCAGAACTGGTCCGATTTAGACAACTCTTGGGGCAGAAAAGCAAAAATGTTTGGGGAACCCTGCACACGCACTCGTCTTCTGCCTGGCGTGTGCAAGAGTGTGCAAAAGACAGATATCCTGGCTACAGCAGAGGTTTCAAAATTACGGGTGAAAATCTGGGGTGCGGGCTGGATGTTTGTGAAAGCCGCTTCAGCTTTTTCTACACGTCAAAATGCTTTTTTCGGTATGTTCAGTTCTAGTGTGGGGCGAGCTGTATCGCAAGTGGGCACTTTACACACAGACACTTTGGCAAGTCGGGAATCATTTCAGACAAACAAATACTGGATCACGAAAGAACAAACATTTGATGCTTGAAAGAGAGGAGGAACCGGAGGCAGCTGGTCTCTCCCCAGAGTGGAAGGACTGACCCTGCTCTGGCTGGTTTCTCATTCTGCTACACGGTGTAGGAAGCTGCCTTGAGGGACAGAGCGGGGCAAAGACGGCCCGTCTGTCTGCAGAGCTGATGGGGCAGCCCTGCTTTCTCCCTGCTCCTCCATCTCCACGTTTCCTTTTCCGCATGTCCGAACGGAACCTCTGCCATCCCTCTGCCTGGAATACTGCTCAAAAACTCACTGGGAAGGGGGACGGAAGCATCGGGAGCCAGCCAAGCTTACCTGGGCTCACCTGTCCTTTCCTCCCTCTCTCTCCAACGCGGCAGCTGGAAGGACGGCCTGGCCTTGTGCGCCCTGATCCACCGGCACCGCCCCGATCTCATTGACTACGCGAAGCTCAGAAAGGTGCCAGCTCTCCCCTGCATCCTGGACGGGACTCGGCCCTGCAGCCACTCTGCCTCTCGCCTCTGGAATCTGGCCGTGCCTCCTGCCTCTGTGTCTTTGGGGCGGCCTCTGAACCCCCCTCCCAAAAAAACCCTCCCCCTGCCCAGCTTTCTGAGGAGTGTTTTGCTGAGAGAGGCGGCACAGCTGCGCCAGAGATCCTGGCTCGGCCCACAGTCCAGGATCGGGTCCCCGATGGGAGGGGCCTTTCTCTGGCTGAGGCCCCGGAGTGGAGTCAGAATAAGCAGTTCCGCCTTCACAGGCGAGGTGCTGGAAGGCACTGCCCGGGTCCCCCAGAACAGACACTCATGGCGAGCGGCTAGAGCTGGTCTCTGGGACATGGCCAGCCCCTGGCTGCTTTCCCCCCCCCCCCCCCCGCCATAACCTTGCCAGCCCCTCCCTCCCACTGTACAGGGACTCACACAGAGCCGCTGTGTCGCCCTCTGCACAGGATGATCCTATCGGGAACCTCAACACGGCCTTCGAGGTGGCCGAGAAATACCTGGATATCCCCCGGATGCTGGATGCCGAAGGTGAGAAGCCAGTCAGGCGCTTGTGTGCGTGGCTTACAGGCGAGGGGCAACAGTTCAGCATGGAAGGGAGGAAGCCTCGGGCGTCCACGCAGCGGGCTGACCGAGCCCCCCAACTGGGGAAGGGCGAGCCACTGGACTCGGCGCCCGCCCGCCCGCTCGGCCAGAGACGTCCGTGGCTCCGGCAAGGCCTCTCTGCGACACAGCGCAGGGCCACCTTCTGCCTCTCCTTCTCGCCAGATATCGTAAACACTCCCAAACCAGACGAGAAGGCCATCATGACCTACGTCTCCTGTTTCTACCATGCCTTTGCCGGCGCCGAGCAGGTAAGCCAGAAAGCTCCCTCCCAGTTTGCACAACACTCGCTTTTTTGGCTCTGTAACTCAGATCGTCTCCCGCACAGCTCCGGTTTCTCTTGTGTGTAATACCATCGGGGTGCCTCGTTTTACGGAGCGCATGAGTTCATGCCCTGGGGAGCTTACAGTCTTCGTTCTGGGGTGCTGGGGGTGCAGCAGACAAAGGGGAGGGAAAGCAGAGCTGGGGAGGCCACGGAAGCACGTTGCTCTCTTCTATTGCTAGTGCCTGGGCTTCGTTAGAAGCATTTTCGCGGGAGGTTTGGAGGCGGTTTATGGTGGGTGGATCAAAACGAATTTGCTGACAGTGCAATCCTGCACAGGGAGAGTCCAGGTACAAGCAGCCCTAACAGATGGCCGTCCAGCTGCCTCTTGAATGTGGGGATGCTCTCTCATCATAGGTTCTGTTGCCAAGTTGCTCTAAGAATTTCCCTGCCGTTCTCCTGCAATCTGGCTTCCTATAATTTGCCTGTTTGCTTCAGTGTCCGACTGAACCCACTGAGTTCAGTAGGACTCACCGCAAGGAAAGTGTGTGTGGAATTGTAGCCTCAATTCCCCAGTTTTTCTGGGTTCCTTTTGCATGATTCTGCCCCTGAAAACATAACAGCTACTCTCCGTACCCTACCAAAATCACCTTTGTCAGTCTGAAATGCCTTCACCGAGTCCCAAGCATGCCGATCAGGTGCATGTATGAAATGCAGGGTTAGTTGCAGGACACTGAATTCACGGCCCTGAACAGTCTTTACCTTGGAGGAGGCCACCTGGCTAGTCTGGCCAGGGCTTGGAGGAGTCGATCGCGAACTTGGATGTCCTCCAGGGATGGCCTTCGAACTCCAGCCCAGTGGGGTAAGACAAATCTAATCGGTCTCTTTCCAGGCGGAGACAGCTGCCAACCGGATCTGCAAGGTGCTGGCCGTCAATCAGGAGAACGAGAAGCTGATGCAGGAGTACGAGAAGCTGGCCAGCGAGGTGCGTCGGTCGGGGTGGGAAGCCCCACAGGCAATCCCACGGACTTCCTGCTCCCATCAGCACTAGGCTGCGCTCCCCTTGTTCCTGTAAGGAATTCGAGCGCTGGAGGCGGGAGCAGAATTCCTGATTTCAGTTACTGGGGTTAGATGTGGGGTTCCACCTTTTGGACCGGGCTGGGGATTTTTAATTTTTTTTAATGTTTGCGGAAGGCTACTTTCCCTTGTAATCTTTTGAGAGCTGCATGCCAGCTGCAAGCAGAGCCAAATCCAGCTGTGGGTCAAAAACAGGAGTGGGTCAAGGCCACCCCCTCTTGTCCCTTCCGGGTTGTCCTCTCCTCCAGCCGTCTCATTCCCCCACCCCACAGACACACACCTTCTGCCCCCCCATCTCCCCCCTCCTCTCTTGCTTTTTGCCCCTCCTTCACACCCTCCCGGGGCTGAAGGTGACAGGGACCCCGTGGCCCAACGGCAGGGCACCTGCGGTGCATGCGGAAAAGCTGGCAGAGCGGGAAGGGGCCCTGCACGAAACCCCACGCTGCCTGCTAGTGTTGGCAGTACTGAGCTAGATGGAGCACGGCTCTCGCCCCGATCGGCCAGCTCCGCATGCTCCAGCTTCTCTCTCTCTCTCTCCTCCTCCCTCCTGCTTGTCCCTCCGTCCTCCCCAGCCTCCAGGCTCTGCCAGGGGCCTGGTCCGACATCCTAACTAATTGCTTCCATCCTGTTCCGAAACCCGGGCAAAACTTTAGGCCAGAGATGGGAAATCCCTCCAGGTTCCTCCTGCACTGGCTCACAGCCTCTCCTTGCGGGACTCGCAAATCTCCTCCAAAGAGTCGTGCTATTACTGCATGAATACGTGGGGAAAACGGAGACGCGCATGTTTGGGCCGCCGGTGGTCCTGGCGGCGACCGGTCCGTGGGCCTGCGCCTCGGCGTGACCGCCTCTGCTCCTCTCCCTGCAGCTCCTTGAATGGATCCGCCGCACCATCCCCTGGCTGGAGAACCGTGTGCCCGAGAAAAGCATGAGCGCCATGCAGCGCAAGCTGGAGGACTTCCGGGACTACCGGCGCGTGCACAAGCCCCCCCGCGTCCAGGAGAAATGTCAGCTGGAGATCAACTTCAACACGCTGCAGACCAAGCTTCGCCTCAGCAACCGGCCCGCCTTCATGCCCTCGGAGGGCAAGATGGTCTCTGTGAGTCAGGAGGGGGCAGGAGAGGGCAGAATCGGCGCAGGCGGCCCCACGCGGCCTGGGGCGGGCGCCACTGCACGTGGCTGACCCCTCCTCATAATACCGGGAGTGAGTCTGCAGGAGGCGAACGTGCCCAGCCGCCACGGGGCCCTGCCGAGCCGGTCTCTTCCCACGGAGGTGTCCCAGCCCTAAATCCCCGTGTGGCTGCGCGCTTGTGGCACGGCCTGCGGCTCCTCCAACACTCCTTGGGAGCTTGTGCATGTATTCATCTCAAAACCTCCGCACCCCCTTTTGGGGCAACCCCCGCAAGGGGGTCTCACAGCAAAACTGAACATGACAGCGCTTTAGAATCCATCATATATGAAAACCCTCAATCAAAACTTTTAAAAAACAGCAAAGCATCAAGGTATTGTGACTGCAGCAGTTACTGTAATGCATGTATTAATTAAAGCCAACTTCTGCTAAAACAGTCTTCAGGGTCCATTTCAAAGCTGATGATCTGGGGCCCTCCCTGCAGAGCGGACTCTACTGGTGCAGGTCCTGACTTTGGTGCCTGCCCATCTGACAGTTCTCTGGGCAAAGGCCCTGCAGTTTAAACATCCAGTTACATCTTAATTAAGCTTCCCAATTCTGCTAGAGCGGGTTCAGGAGGGCCTGGGAGTAGCATACCAAGGGATAGGCATATTTTTCACTCCTATCACCGCCTGGCCCAACAGGCAAGGTGCGTTTCCGGCATTTCCTCTTCGCATGGAGGTTAAAATGTGGCCTGCACAATGCGAGCTGCAGGCCCTCGTTTAAACCCTCTCCAGCTGCTTTGCTCTTGCCCAAGCAATTCAAAGAAGTCCTCGCACAATACGAATCCCGGGGCCGGCATGGCAGGCCTTCCTCGGGTCCTGCCCGCCGGAGGGGGAGCCAGTGGTGGGAAGGTCTGGGCCGGCCAGGAGAGGGGGCCTGGGGTGAGGCCGTGCCGTGCCGTGTCTGCCCGCAGGACATCGCCAACGCGTGGAAAGGGCTGGAGCAGGCCGAGAAGGGCTACGAGGAGTGGCTGTTGACCGAGATCCGGCGCCTGGAGCGCCTGGACCACTTGGCGGAGAAGTTCAGGCAGAAGGCCACCCTGCACGAGAACTGGACCAGAGGTACCTGCCCTGCCTCCTGGCGCCCGTGGCCAGTGCCCGCTCCGGAGAGACCGGCAGCATCTGCCACGACCCTGGGCGGCCCTCTTTCCCTGGAGCTTGCAGAAGCCAAGGCAAAATCCGCTTTCCCAGCAGGAGTGGAGTGTTCTTGCTTGTGATGCGAAGGATTCTAGGGTGACGAGGCCTTGAATGGACAAGAGGGACCCGTTAGCTTTAAAAAAAAAGTTTTAGCCGCTGGAAACGTCTCACTGGGGACGTGGCTCTAGGAACGGTGGCCAAGAGCATTTCCGAGCAGACGGTGACCCCGCTGGCCAGCCTCACGCTCCCCGTGGCCCTCTCCCTTCCTTCGTGCTTGTCTGGCTGAAAAAGTCCTGTCCTAGCCCACGTGCCAACACCAAGGACCGTGAGGCTTAAGCATGCAGTCTCTTGCTCTCCGGTTTGCCCCGATTCACACTTCTCGCGTTCAGTGCTCCAGCTGTATGGATTTTGCAGCATATGTGCTTGCTGGGGTTGCATGAGCGGAGCCGGCCAGAACCGGGGTCAGGCTAGATCACCCGGGAGCCCCTTCTGCCTCGCTTAGTCGTGTTCCTGTGTCTTCTCAGTGGCCCGCTGCTTCCTCCCCTTGCAGGGAAAGAGGACATGCTGTCGCAGAAGGACTACGAGTCTGCCTCCCTGTACGAGATCCGGGCGCTGATGCGCAAGCACGAGGCTTTCGAGAGCGACCTGGCCGCCCACCAGGACCGTGTGGAGCAAATTGCTGCCATCGCACAGGAGCTCAAGTGGGTGCCACGTCCTTCTCCTCACAGCAGCCCTGTGCAGTTGTGAGGCTGGGTCAGGGGCTGCCCCAGGAGAGCTTGAGGGCCACGCGGGGCCCAGACCGGGGTCTCCCCGGTCGCTGATCTTGTCGCCGTCCTTGTCATCTCGCCATCGACCTGATCTTCCCGGGGAAACGCAGTGGGACTAACAGAACAGACGCGGACCTGATGTTCTGCCAGTCCTGCCCGCGTGCGCCGTGACCTTGTTGAATCCTTGAGCTTGGACGCCGAAGCAAGGCAGCGCTGGCCTGCGTGGCCGCGGGCCCTTGCGGAGGGCGGGGGGGGGGGTGCGGACTCGCCTTGCACCGCCATCCGTAGTTGGGACAGGACGGGTGCCTTGGGGATGGGGTCGCTCCAATCTCCCGGTGTCTGTGCTGCGGGAGCCGCGCGGGGACGGGGCCGAACGGGAGCTTGGTCTCCTGGCGTTCTGCTCCGCTCGGCACGAGACGCTCCGCAGGCCCAGCTCCATCTCTGACCTCGTGGTCCTTGGTGCAGTGAGCTGGACTACCACGACGCCGCCTCTGTGAACTCCCGCTGCCAGGCCATCTGCGACCAGTGGGACACGCTGGGGACGCTAACCCAGAAGAGAAGGGACGCCCTGGAGGTGAGGGGGGCGCCGGACACCCGTGCGCACGTGGGGGGGGGGGGCGGCCCGGCCTCCACTGGCCGGGGCTCACCCGGCCTTCTCTGCCCCCGTGCAGCGGGTGGAGAAGCTGCTGGAGACGATTGACCAACTGTACCTGGAGTTCGCCAAGCGAGCGGCCCCCTTCAACAACTGGATGGACGGCGCCATTGAAGACCTTCAGGACATGTTCATAGTGCACAGCATTGAGGAGATCCAGGTAAGTCGGCCCGGGGGGGCGGGGGGTCTCGCACTTGCTGAAGCAGCCAGGTGAGGCCAGAGCAGGCCCCTTTCCCGCTGCTCCAGAGCAGGAGGGGGGAACCTAGCAGAGACTTTCTGGAATAGGGCCGGGGACGAGGGTAGGCATGGCTGGGCACTTGCTGGGGGCCCAATGCTCACAGGGGCCCATGGACAATAGGACTTCTTCCTCTTCCTCACTGCAGCCTGCTTGCCTGCCTCTTGCTCTGGCTAAGTGACCACTTGCAAGCCGGCCAGGACGGAGAGCTCTTGGCATGGCTCTGGGCACTGTGGGCGGTTTAAAATGGCGGCTTCCCAGAAGCCCCCTCTGCCACTCTGGGTCAGGGCAGGGGTGGCTGGGGGCAGAGCAGACATGACATGGGCCACTCATCGTGCCCTGGGGACCCCTCACGCACACGGAGGCTCTGCACGTCGCTCCCGCCCTCCGGCAGCTCTCCCGTGCCTTCTGGGTATCTCTGCAGAGTTTTAAGAGCGAGGATAATACGGCATTTCCCTGAATTGTGCCGTTACTCACTGCGGCAGCCCTGTGTAAGCTCTGCGTTACTCTCCACAGCACAGTGCCTCCTTGTGTTATGGAAAATATATGAAACATACAGAAGGGCAGGGAGGAAAAGCAGCTGGGGGAAAATCCTCATGTAGGAGGACAAACTTCCTCCCGCAAAGAAAAGCAAAACCAAAACCGCAGTAGCCGCTTCCAGATGTTCGATGCTGACACTCATCTGAGGCCGTAGCAGAGTTCGAGGTGTGCAGTAAAGGCCAGCATTTTGTTGGAGAAAACCTGCTTAGCGAAGAGAAAGGGACTGGAGATGGGGGGGGGGGGGTGAGCCAGATTAACAGCATGAACCACACGGAGGGCACGGCTGAATTAGCGAGAGCTCCAGGCAAGGCGAAGGCAGAATCCACCGCGAGGAGACGCGGTGCCAGAGGCGGAGGCAGCCCAGCGGGCCGGAGGGCCCGATTTCCGTCCGCCTCCCCCCCCCCCCCCCCAGCTGCCCGGCGTCTTTCCCTCCGCCCCAGAGCCTGATCACAGCCCACGAGCAGTTCAAAGCCACCCTGCCCGAGGCCGACAAGGAGCGCATGGCCATCCTGGGGATCCAGAACGAGATCCAGAAGATCGCACAGACCTACGGCATCAAGCTGTCGGGCATAAACCCCTACACCAACCTGTCGCACCACGACATCGCCACCAAGTGGGATAAGGTGGGGCGCCTTTTGGAAGAGACATGCGGTTCTGCCTCGGGAGACGCCGGCGAGTCCGAGGGGCCCATCGGGGCCCAAATGATGTCATGATGTCATGGCTGGGCTCCATCCACCCTCGTTGGGGTGCTGCCTGATGGGGGGAAGATGGGGGTGGGGCAGCGGGAGGGGGCGCCTTTCTGCCAAATCCAGTCTGCTCAGCTGCCCTTGAATCCTAGAAGAGTAGAGCTGGAAGGGGCCCTGAAGGCCATCAGGTCCAGCCCCTGCTGGGGCAGGACACCAAGGTGAAAAGCAGGCGATTTTCTGGTGAGAAAAGGCCGCTTCTTGTGCATGGTGCCCCGGAAGCGGGAGAGAGAGAAAAGGGGTGCAGAGAGAGGCAGGCGAGGGACGGGCCGCCCGCTTTTGTCTTGAGCCTGAGCTGCGGGTGGCTTTGTGCCCGCCTGTTGCGAAAACGCAGCGTGGGTTCCTTGCTCGTGGGCCGTAAGGGGATCCAGTCCTCGGCTGCAAACCGGCTGCTCTCCCGTCTTAACGCACCCGGTGAGCACAGGGGCCACAGACAGGTGCCAAGGGGCCCCATTCCTTTCTGGGCTGCGCTTCACAGGTACAGCTTTGCTGCTAGCCAGAAATGAGTCGGGGGGGGGGGGTGCTGGCCCAGCCCCTCCTCCCCGAATGCCTCAAGGAGCCCGACTCCCCTTCTCTCGCCCAGGTGAAGCAACTGGTTCCACACCGCGACCAGACCCTGCAGGAGGAGCTGGCGAGGCAGCAGGCCAACGAGCGCCTGCGACGCCAGTTCGCTGCTCAGGCCAACATCATCGGACCGTGGATCCAGACCAAGATGGAGGTAAGCCCCCCACACACACACACACCTGTGCCGGGGGCCAGCAGCTTTGCCCACACACCTCTGCAGGTGCCTGCGGCAGATTTCTGGTCCTCTCCGGGGCGTGTCTGTACTCGATAGGAGAGGGGTGTCGAAAGCGAGAAAAAAAAAATCATGTTTATGACATCCCAGCCAGAGAACTTCAGCTACTGGGTGCTACAGAAATGAAAGAAAGAATAATTGCATGGGGGGACACAGGGGCAGAAGCCAAAGGAGGCAGAGTTAGTCCAAATGCAGGTCAGGACAAGCGCCGATCTCCAGAACAGCCTAGGTTTCCAAAAAGGAGAATTTCAGGGGTTTTGTGTGTCCTTTCACTCATCCCACCTTGCCTCTCTCGACACACCATCCCTGAACCAACAAATAGCTTTAGAAAAGCTTCTAGTCCTGGTGAGATGGCCCTGTAAGCAATATCCCATCACTCCGGTCGCTGAGGAGTCCCGTCCAAGTGGGAAGGCGGTCCTTGCTGCCGGTTTCCAGCAGACCTGTCTCAGCGAAGACGTCCCGTAACCCGCAGGGGTGGGGACCCCCACGGGGCTCGTGCCGGCCGCCCAGACCCAAAGCCCCGTGCCTGACGGCGGCTTCCCCCCCGGCCCCCCCCGCAGGAGATCGGCCACATCTCCGTCGACATCAGCGGGTCCCTCGAGGACCAGATGAACCACCTGAAGCAGCACGAGCAGAACATCATCAACTACAAGACGAACATCGACAAGCTGGAGGGCGACCACCAGCTCATCCAGGAGGCCCTCGTCTTCGACAACAAGCACACCAGCTACACCATGGAGGTGGGTCTCGGGGCCCGGGCCGGCCGTGGGGGGACAGGGCCGAGGGTGCCGTGCGGGGCCCCCGTCCGTCGGCCTGCTCCCCTTCCGGCGCGGAGGAGGCGACGGTCGCTCCGCCGGCATCC